GCATGATCATCTATACAAGTGACAAAATAGTGGGAAACATCTAATAGACAGAACTGGAGCAGGAGCACATACATAGTATGCACTAGCTCCATCCTCTTGGACTTCACCATTTACATACTTTTAGAGAAAAAAATTTTATTTTGGTTGTCACATACAAAGCCTTCATAAAAATCTAGATCTATATATTTTAAATCCTGAAACTTATTCTTAGAAAGTAGGGACTTCATATTTTTCTCACTCATATAATCAAGTCTGTGATGTCAAAGACCAACATCAACATTTATTCCAGCCACGTCAATGAATTTTGTCATCTCATTGATCGGTAAAGAGTGTCTTCAAAGTTGCCTCAAGTCATCATCATTCTCTTTCTAGTCACATTCCATGAATCATCTGTTAAAGTAGTCACATACCCTGACCATGCAAGTCGACTGACTGAGATCAATTTTTTCTTCAAACTTGGAACATGTCTAATTTCATTGAGCTTACGTACTATTTCATTTGACAATCTGATATCAACATCACCCTTTTCTATAATACTTCAAACCTTATTATGTCCCAAATACACATTTTTAAATCACTCGGAGTGCAGTTTTTAAATACCCCTTTGTTGAGAATGCGTGAAAAGTGATACATGAATATATTATCCAAAATTCAATACTATATAGAGATAAAAACAAGGAGTCACCTTAAATTTAGCATGTGGAGACATTTATAGACATTTCTGTTTTGACCCCAACCACCAGCCTTCTTCGAAGCTTTACAGTCCTTGAAATGGCATTTCTTCTGACAGTTCCATCATTCACCTCTGTCATTTCCTCTTCCTGACTTTCCACTTATGGAGTTGAATTTATCTTTGTTTGTATTCTTATCAAGATTTTTTTCTCTGTTTTTAACGGTCAGCACAAAATGTAAAGGAATATGGATTCAAATGTTATTAAGGGAAATTAAAGTTGAGATGAAAGACACAATTAAGATGTTCAGAGATAGCCAATCAGCTATTAGTATAGCCAAAAATCAAGTATGTCATGTGATACTAAAGTTAACTCAAACCACAATAAGAAAAGCAAATGTTATTACTAAAAAATTGACGGTTACAACCAAACACACTTTGAAGGGAATTACAACTCATAGGACTAGATCTCGGGTGGGGGAAGTCAGCTAGGTAGCCGGGGAGTGGTGGTAGGAAGCTGAAATGGGTTGTGAGTTGCTGAGACAGCAATAGAAGGGGATGGAATTGTAACGCCAAAATTTCAAGCAACCAGGTAATGTTTGACACATTTGAAAATTACCTCAAATTTTACATCTCTCGGAATTCAATTGAAATAATTTTATTTAATTCTACGTATAAAATTGATCAATTACATAAAAAACACCATGCATGAATAATTAATGGATTGAGAGATAAAATTTAGAAATTTAAAGTTTTGCTAACTTTATTAATCCTTAATTATCCTAATTACTTCCTTAATCTCCCATACCCTTACTGTTCCCCACGGTCTCTCACGTCTTTTATTCATTGAATTCAATCCAATCGGGAGTCCTAAGCTTCAAACTCCTCCCGTCCGCCTCACTTCTCCCACACGATCCTGATTCTCCCTCTCCTTCACACGACTGCACAGCTCGGCAGAAGCAGAGCCCTGTGACCCTTGCCACAGAGCAAGGGGCACGAGCTAGCCTACGAACTGAGCGGCACAGGTAAGTTGTAAATCGACATTTTAAGGCTCCAGAGTGATTTCTTTAAGCATGAATCCCTTTTTCATGTCAATTGAGACTCACTTTAGTTTTGACTTTTGTCTCGTTTTTGTGCATTTTCCCTTTTTATTAACCGTCAAAGGCGCCAATTTTGTGTCGGAAATGTCGAATTTATTTGCGAGCTTCTAAAAATATTTCAGCACGATATAAGTGAGATGTAAGATTTGAGGTGATAGGTAGGAGAGAAAAGTGAATTAGGGGTTTTCAAAGGGCAAATTTATGCCAAGAAACCCTTTTAAGGTATGTTTTGGCATTGAATGCCTGTTTTAGGGTTAATCATGATGTGAGCCAAAATTTTATGAATACCTATGATGCTTATAAATTTTCAAGTTTTATATATAAGGCGGCGAGCTCAAGACAAGCATGTGGGCAATTGTCGTAGGACTAGTTCGTCAAGTCAGGTGAAATAAACTTGTGTTAATTTAAGAAAAAAATATTTCATAGGATTTCATATGATTTTTAGTTGACACAGATACGTTTAAAATTTTCTACATATTGTAAATAGATATCTGTAATTGCAAGTATGAATGCGTGTTTACTTTTCTTATGATACATGTAATGCTATAATCAAGTTATGTTACATATAACTATGTTTATGATATGAATTCTCTGCAAGTATTTATTTGTTATACTTCATGCATATGATATATGTAATGTCTTATAAATGTTTGATACAGAAATGATGATTCAAATGTCACAATGAATGTATGGGTAGATTATTACATGAGTGCTTGCAAGTACATTATTCGCGAATGTAATATTCTCGACTCCAGATATTTATACGGGGACGAAACTCTAGAAAGCATTCGAATTAGGCGAAGAGAACGTTTGGGAATCGTGGTACATTATGCAGGGATATAATATTCTCGACTTCAAATATTTAAAAGGGGAAGAAACTCTGGGAACCGTTGAAATTAGGAGGCGACAGAACGTTAGGGATCCGTGGCTATTAAGGGAGCTATCGATAACTGCTATGTTAGGGGAAGTCCAACCTTTATCGATGGTTTATATGATCTTTGAAGCAGTGTGACGACTCATGATGAAAAAACATGGAAATAATTGAAACGTATACATTAAACAAGTGACATTACTTTAAAATGACATCTATGCAATGACATTGCTATGATTACATATGAAAAACAGCCAATGATCATGTTTTTAAATATACTTATGATTTAATGCTTACGACCTACATGTTACACTACAGTCTTAATTATTTTTGTACTATCTACTTTTTTTTTATATTCTCTACTATACTAGCATGTTATTACTTGTGCATATAAACATGTACAGTTTCATATGAGCATATACATTTCTTCTCCATGTATAAAATCTTATGTAAGCCCAGATTATTTCTATGAGCTCATTTTTGTTCATTCTTCGTTGTTGCTTTTCAGGTAGGGGCAACGAGCACAGGGACGGGTAGTCAGGTGGTGTCTTTGTATAGCTTTTGCACGATTGTTTTAGAAGCTTTTATATATGTTTTGGATACATATTTTTATTATATTGGATTTAACAACTCTGTATAATTTATATGTTTTGAGGTTATAATATTTCATGCTTCCGAAGATGAATATAAATGAATTATGAAATGTACTAATTGATGTGATCTAGTTATACTAATTCATCACCCACTGAACCCTGATTATAAGTCAAGACGAGTGTTGGTGAGAGTTTGTCTAACCAAATTGTCAATCTCTGTCGCATCAAGATTTACCCTATTTGAGGGTTAGTTGGCGTGTGAAAGGAATTGTGTTGGTTGTGAAGCAAAGGGCCTGGAACGAAAGCAGAAGCTAAGCGGAGGGTTGGGACAGCGAGGACAGCGAAGGAGAAGGGTTGTGAACTGCTGCAAGACAGCAAGAGGAGTACTTTCCCAGGGATGTGGCAGCAAGGAAGTGGTTTGAATGAATGAAATAGGTGGTTTGGTAGCAGGACTGCATAAAAAACTGCAAGGCTGCTGTCATGGGCGGTTGTAGCAAGTATGGAAGGCTAGATAGCAGTTGAAACAACAAGACAAGGGAGGGAACAGGGGCGTCAACGAAGTTGTAGGGTTGGGACTGTGAGGGCAACGAAGAGGAGGGAGGAGAAGGAATTGGCGACAGTTGGAAAGGCTATGGAAGAGTTGGGTAATGATAAATAACCAGTTGAGAATGAATTGCAGTTGGAGCATCACTTGATCCCTTGGAAGGAGATCACCACCTCTGACGAATTATAGTCGGAGGACTTTCATGCCTTCAAATACAGCCATAGAAGAGGAAATCCTGGACCCTGGAAGCTTTCCTGACAAAAATTATCATAAAAACTAACTTCCAAAATTTAATACAGCATATATATCGAAAAGGGTTAAAAATGAATGCAAGATAATGGGAAAGAAAGCATAAAAAAAGAAAATATGACTGTTTAAGCGGCCCATCTCCCACAATATTGAATCTGTGGTACTGTTGTAGCTACAATACCGCAAAAATTCTATGTAGGAAAGCTCCTGAACCATCATGACAGAATAAAACACGTCGGGATGGACAGGCACTTCATCTCATAGCAGGTTAATGAAATTTTTCAACTCAGATATAATCCTACATGGCTTCAGTCTGCTGATATTCTTACCAAAGCACTACCAAAGGTCAATCATGATGAATTGAAGTCCAGGTTTGGTTTGTACAATATATACAACCCAGCTTGAGGGGGGGAGTACTGGAATATGTCAGTCAGCATTAGGAAGGAATTTATTTTCGTGCTTCAAAATATATTTCATTAATTGTGTTTCCTTATTAGGGTTTTTTTCTTTTCTTGTTTTTCTTATTTGAAAGGATTCCTATTTGGGTTCCTTTCTCTATTCTATATATGTAGCAAAGTATAATGCATTTGATTGGAGCAATAAGTAATATTCCTACCAAAAATTTCTACATAACACAAGTAGAATCTATGCAAAAATGGAAGGGATGTTTCAATAAAATTTACATGAAAATAAAAAACTCTGCAGTAATTAACATAATCCTCATAAATTCAAAGAAAACAATATACGAACTTCAAGCATTTTAGGTTAGAAATGAAGCTAGAAAAACGTCAAATGAGAACTTCAAATCATGCAAATGCATTTAATGAATGATCCAACCAAATAGAAATGATAGCACCCCATATCAAAATAAAAAATTATAAGCATTAAAGGCCATCAGGTCAACATGTTATCTGATTTGATGGGCCAATCAAGTTTCCAAATGACAAACTAACTTCAATTGAAAAACACTCACTTCCCGCTGATTAGCTCGATAGGAGGAGATGCCAAAAATATTCAATCGGGTATCATCAGCTAGAGCATCCCACTCAAAAGTCCCTGACCAATCGGCTATCATGACAGTAGCATCAATGTTATCCGCAGTATCAGGTTCTTTAAGTTCTTCCAATAAATCTTTCAGTTCAGATTGCTTCTTGTAAAGAGCTTCTTGACGATCAAGCAACAATTTAATTTGATCTGTACAGAAAAAAAAAAGGAAAAGAGGATTGACTTGCTATTTATGAAACAGAGTATGCACTTACAAACACATGTATCAACAGCATGAAGCTGTTGTAGAAATGAAAATTTTATTCAGAAGAAAGGGCAATTTCCAATACTTTAAGAAGGATTTCCACCTCAGAGACGTTATATCCTATGTTCTGGACAAGGATAATAACTAATTTGTTGCCATAGCTTAATTGCAGAAGCCGTAATTCTTGATCTATTGTGGTGGCTATCTAAAAGAAGATAGATGGAGATCTACGAGTAAGTTTAAAGAGAATTAAACAGGATTTGAGCTATGGATTATTTTGATGAGGATCTTTCCCCTTCCACAATTTAATACTATGAGCGATTTCGACTTTCATGATCATATTATTTTTTGAGATTAAATATGTGAAGAATAAATATGAAAAGCTTAAACTTCATATATAGATATCAATCTTCTAACAATTTAAGTGTTTTATATTCTTTGTAAATATAAAATATACAGCAATTCTTCGACGCAAATGTTGATTATTGTGGAGTTGATGTGAAACAAAATAATGAACATATATGATCTAATTGCATACAAATCTCCACACACACACACAGATATATGTGTGCGTGAGTGTGTGTGTGTGTGTTTGTGTGTTTGTGGAGATGTGTTTTAAATTTGGAGATGGAAGTGCCACTCAGCTAGTGAGTAAAAAGAGACGAACTACATCAGTGTGTTGTTGGTTCAATAACAACAAGTTGCCCAGTTGTACTTTGCTTGAAGGCATATTGAGAATACCCATATGGTACTTCTTAATTTTTAGAAACCAATGATTGCTAGTGTTCATGGAAAGGTCAGCATTTGTAGGCGATTTAATATAGATAGCAAGTCAATAGAAGTGAAAGTGTAGGATTCAAATAATTTATTGGTGAGGATATTGTAAGTTTTGGAGAAGCAAAAATAATTATTCCTCTTCAATTTCATAAGAAGCATTTACAAGATAAATAACGAGAGGGAAGGCTACCAAATTAGAAAAGCCACAAAATCTCTATACTGAAATCTGGGAACAAAAATTACAACTTACCAACAGTAACTTCTCATGGTAGAAAATACTAAAAAAGAAGATATTAAAAATAAAACTTCCTAAAATTCCAACACCCCGCTCAAGTTGGAGCATAGATATCTATCAACACCAACTTGCTTACAAGTAGCTCATAGCTAGGCATGAAAAGTCATTCAGTGAAGATATCTCTAAAACCACATGCAGTAGCTCCGCAATCAATCTTCTCTTTTATGAAGTGTATGTCAATCCCCACATACTTTGTGGATCATGTTGCACTGAATGTTTTGCAATGCTTATGGATGTTTTATTGTCACAGCACAAATTCATTGGCATGTTCATCATGATCCACAGCTCTTCAAGAATTCTTTTCAGCCATAACATCTCACATATTCCATTGGCTATAGCCTTATATTCTACCTCAGCACTACTCCTCGTCACCACATTTTGTTTCTTACTTTGCCAAGTAACAAAATTGTCCCAAACATAAGTGCAGTATTCAAAAGTCGATCTCCTGCAATAACTGATCTACCCAATCTGCATCAGTGTATGTTTCAATATTCTATTGTGTGGTCTTTTGAAAGAGTAAGTCATTATTTGGTGTACCCTTTAAGTATCTAAGAATCCTACTAATTGCTTCAAAATGTTTCTCATAAGGTTATGCATAAATTGACTTACTAAACTCACATCAAAGGCAATATTTGACTGTGTAAGTGAAATTTGCATCAATTTTCCCACCAACTTTTCATATTGAATTGTATTCACTGGGTCACCTTCTTTCACATCTCTCAGTTCTGATTGGGATCAATTGGTGTCTGCAGACCTACACTTCATCCCAGTTTCCTTCAGAAAATTAAGATCATACTTTCGTAGAAAACAATAATCCCTTTCGTGGATCTAAAAACTTCCATGCTAAGAAAATAAGAGATCCTAAGTCTTTGATCTCAAAAATAGATGATAGGGAAGTCTTCAAATGGTTCATCTCATAAATGTCATCTCCAATGAGAATTATATCATCCTCATAGAAAATAAGTATGGTTATTTTCCCATCAGTTGAATATCTGAAGAATATTATATGATCTCCTTGCCCTTGAGCATACCCTGATATTTAACAAATATTATAAATTTCACAAGCCACGCTCTCAGTGACTGTTTCAACGCATATAAGGATTTTTTTTTAGTTTGCACACCTTTGTGTCAAACTTCATACTAAATCCTAGAGGTGCATCCATACACTTCTTCCTCTAAATCCTTATTGAGAAAGATAGTTTTTATATCCAACTTTTGTAGAGGACAGTCAAGATTAGCTGCAAGTGACGAAAGAATTCTTGTAGAATTTAATTTTGCTACTAAGGTGAATATCTCTAAGTGATCAATTTCATAAGTCTAGGTGAATTCCTTAGAAACTAATCAAGGCTTATACCGTTCTAGAGAGTATACTTGACTAACAATTATATGCACCGGCAGTTTTGTTCCCTCAATGTAGATCAACCAAATTCCCACGTCAATTTTTTCAAGAGCTTTCATCTCCTCGAAGACGGCTTCTTCCGACTTAAAAACGTTCAGGGACTCATGCACAGTATTAAGAATCTCTATACAAAACAATTGTGAGGTAATAGCTCAAAAAAAGAATGATATTTTCATACGACACATAATGGGACGATGGATGTTGTGTGCGAGATATTTCCCCTTTACAAGCAACAATAGGAAAACTAGACTCATTAGACTTAGCATTAGAACTAAGCTCGGGCTCAAGACTATAAGAATCAGAACTTGAAGATGAAGTGGATTGAACAAGGGATAAAAGGTAAGTGATAAAATTACCTAGACGGTTCGCGGAATCTAGGCAATACAAAGGATTCATAAACCCTTTCTTTTGAGTTGTCCTCTGTTACAAGTAAACAATGTCAAATGACATCAATTTCGTAGTTTTTTTTTTTTTTCTATTTCTTCTTTATTAGGATTATGAACATCATGAGATAGACACTGTAGAAAAATTTGAATCATCTTTAACTTTGAAGAGAGTCGACTCCATTTCTCCTGATATAATATAGCTTGGATTTTTAAGATTGTACAATCATGGTTGGAGGATCTCTAAAAAAATATTAATTTTTGAGTGTTCGGCTTGAAAATAATTCTGAAAAATAGTAGTCAAATTTTTGTTATGTGGTGAAACAAAGAGTTGTAATTCAAAAAAAATGACATCCATGATAACAAATATTTTTTTAGAAATATGATCAAAATAACTATACCCCTTTTGGTTAGAGGCTGACCAACAAGCACATTTTTTGGTTTGAGAAGTTTTCTTTAATTATGACTATAAATGTGAAGGAGACGAGAGCCGATTTATTAGGTTAATTTTATGAAATATATCAAAAGGTGTTTTAAAGTTTAAGACTTTATTGGCTATTCTATTTATGAGAAATGTAGCAGTAAGAACAGCTCACCCCAAAGTTATTTTGGGACCTAATTAGTGAATATCAATATCCGAGCAACTTCCAATAAGTGTTTATTTTTAATTTCAACTAAATCATTTTGCTGTGGGAATGTCGACACAAGAGCTTTATTAAACTATTCATTTATTGAGAAAATTATAACCCAAAATATTTTTGAAATACTCTTCGTCATTAACACTCTGTAATAATTGAATAAGTTTTTAAAATTAAGTTTGAGCCATAATGTAAAAGTTTTTTAAAATTGTTTCCGCTTCAAACTTTTCTTTCGTTAAATAAACCCTAACTAACTCAATGTGATCATCATTAAATGTCACAAACCATTTTTTCCCATAATATGTAAGATTTTTAGAAGTACCCCAAATATCACTATGAATCGGAGTAAAGGATGTAGCTGGTTTGTAGGTTTGAGGAGGAAAACGTGCACGAAGATGTTTAAAAAATTGATAATTTTCATATTAAAAAAAAATATTTTTTTTCGTAAATAAATTGAAAATTGAGTATTTAAAACTAGGATAATTTAAACTATAATATCATAACAAAATATCATTATCTTTGAAAATATAAACAAAATTTAAAAAAGAACTTTAATGTTGTATAGTAAATTTCATCATCAAAACAATAAAGTCCATCATTTTCCTTAGCACTATCAATCATCCTCTCAGTAGTCAATTCCTAAAACTCAAAAAAAATAAAAATAAAGATAAGTTTGACATTAATAATCAAAAGTAATTTTACTAATGGACAACAAATTACAAGACAAATTGGGAACATGGAGTACAATTTCTTTCCCAACAATTATCGAGATGGAACCATCGGCAAATTTGATAATTTTATTGCCTACACAAGGTCTATAGAAGGAAAATAATTTTGAACAATCAGTCATATGATCAGTGGCAGCAAAATTGATTATCTAAGTATGAACAAAATATTAGGAATAACAACTAACAATGCAATGACTAAAAGAGTTAGCTTTTTGTAATAAAGAGCAAGACGGAGTCGGGAAAAATTTTAGATATTGAAACAATTGTACTTTAATTGCTCTTTGGTGAAAGGGCCAACATATAAGTTTGCATAAAGCTCCTGAGTTTCTTCAACAGTAGCTTGATAAGCTCAACCTTCAGGCTTAGATTTTGATTTTCAATTTATAGGTTTACCATGAAGCAGCCAACATGTCTCATTCATGTCTCATAGTTTTTATGCAGTGCTCGCACCATGGTTTCTTGTGTCCTTCTTTGTTAGTATCAACTCTTTTTGACACAAGAATCAAGTTTTCATGTTCAATATTATAAGGAGGTTCTATATTGCGAACTATAATTTTTTTCACATCTAATCTTAGAAAAGCATCTCAAATAGAGGGTACAAATTTCTTAACCAGGATGTGATCTCTAACTTCATCTAAACTCTGATTAAGGCCAGCTAAGAATAAGTAAACCCGGTCATTTTCCTCTCTTATGGCGATCATAGTTAATAGAGAATTCTTCTAAATATCATCATAACATTGATCAAGGTCCTATCACAATATTACCAACTTATTGTAGGATTACAAACCTAACAAGAAACACCCGTAAGGATACATACATGAAGTTTTGAAGTGGTAGTGTTTAGTTTAAATTTGTAAAGACATGTCAGGATCTTTAGATAAGACATAATATTAGTGATATTCATAACATATCTATTTTTTGTCTTCAATTAGACACTCTAAATATATATATGTATGTATATATATGTATATATACATAGGTATATATATATATATATAGTATGTATATGCTCAAAAGTGTAATTAACTTCCAAGCATCCTCATTTCCAATCTGGCCCTTGAAAAAAAAAAGGAAAGTTGGCCTAACTTTGTAGTCTCGCAAAGCACTTAGCCGCAAGATAGATTACAAGCATTATAATTTCATTCAAGGAAATGCACGCCGGTGATACAAACAGCTAGACTACAAGTTAGAAGATAAGCAACATTTGAATATAAGTAGGATCAACGAGATGCAATATTACAAAAGAGGGTAGATAAGTGGCAAGCAATAAAATCAAGATTGACAGAGGATTGTAATTATATTTAAGACAGAAATCGAAGACCAAATTAATCAGTCGCATTAGGTTTTTTGGACGAGGAAAGGCGGCACCTTGAACATCCAGAATCTCCGCCTCGACAAGAAGAAGCTCCTCCATTACGTCCGTCTCCATGTTACGAGGTGACGGGATGCAGCTATCTTCACACAAAATATTTGTACATGGGTAGATCGGCAACACTGGATTCGTTGTAATTGTCCCTCGAATGATGAAGTCCTGAAGGGCCGCTCCCAGGCGCGGAGTCTTTAGTCCGGGCGGAGCGGAGTCTTTAGTCCGGGCGGAGCGCCCGGGCGGCTCTTGTTGGCTTTTGGTATGCACAACTATGTCAACATGGGTTAATCCATAACCTCATTCAATAAAATCCTTGTGGAGCAATGCTTCCCATTTTTCACGCCTTTAAAATTAATATTTCAAACTCAAAGTTATAGGCATGAAAGAAATAAAGGTTTTTGTGATAGTCAGAGTTATCATACTTTCAAATATTTTCAAATTATATTTTATAAAATTGTATTAGGGAAATTTGATTTTCGATATCTCTTATTATCACAAACAGTCAAATTAAAATGCTATTTTATTCTTTATGAAATATGCTAAAAAATCATTTTAAATCAAATTATATACTCTCTATAGAATTAAGTTGTTTGATAGTTGGAAAGATCTTTCACTGTCTACTATTTTCTTGGATCTCATATGATTGTCCTAAAATAAAATTTCAGATCAAAGATCTCAATTTTATAATCAACGTTTCCTCAAAGTTAGTGAGGTTGGACTTTTATTTGTTTAGATTTGAATGCGTTGGTTTGCTCGCCTTATTTTGAATAAGGTTGACAAATTCCTTTTGAGCATGTTCATAATCTTGTGGATTATTCCTTAGCTCACAAAAACTTTATACTTTTTTTATAGGAAGTTTTTTAATGAATGTAAGATTGGCTAGCCCTAACGGATCTAAATCTTATAACCCTTAGGAGGTACACCATAGGAATCCCTGACTTGCCCTACTATTGGACCTATGTCATATGGTCCCTTTAGTTTTGAAACAAAAAGAAAAAAAATCCAATTGGTCTCTAGTGATTGATATATAGTCATAGAAACACTTATATAATTATGGTGTGGCACATAGTGGTCGCCCCATCTCTAGGTCTCAAGCTAGAGGAGGTGGCATAACTACTAGATCCAGATCTAGGGTCAAATCAAGCTTAAGAGAACTTTGATTGTTTTGCGGGCCATAGAGACCTTCAATTATGTTTATTTCATTATGTTATATAATATTTAGTTTTCTTAATGTTGTGTGTTAATTGTATGTGTTTGTGAAAAGTATATGTATTATTTCTTTTGAAGTCAAACAATTGCTTATGTGGAGTCCATGTATGCTTATATGGCATTAACCCTTGGTCAATGCATGGAGTGGATGGTTGTAAAGGAGGCAAGCTTAGGTGGCTTGAGTAGTTCCAACAGAGCGTAGGCCACTCCCTCTCTCCTTCTCCTTTAGTTATTTTCTTTGGCAATTAATATATGTGAAGAAAGGATGATTAGCATCTAATACTTAAACTAATATTTTCTCTAAAATGACTATATGTTGGTTGTGTGAACACTTGGATGAATTATTCTCCACTAGCTTGAGGCTTGGTGGTCGGCCGCCCAATGGTTTTAGTGATCTTCTTTGAAACTTCCTTTGGTAAGCATGAATTTTTAATTATCTAAACTTCTTTTATGTAAATCTTGTATTGTTTGTATTAGTGGTTTTATCTACTATAATGTTCCAAAATGAAAGCCCATAAACCTTGTGTTTTATCCCATTATTTTGTTGTTTCAGTGAGAATCCTTAAATCTTTAATTTTCTAGAAAACTTGTACCAGTTCAGTCATTTGTCTTAATTTACACATCAGAACATCTCCAAAATTTTTGAATTTTGTGGCATTTTGTTCTTCTTATTTCCTACTTCAAAAATTTTATAACATATATGTAATGTTATGTTAAAAATCTTGGAGAAAATTTTACTTAAAGAAATCCCTAAATTTTTTGTCTTATATTTCTACTTCCTATATTCTTGAGTTTCTTGTCCCCAAATTCATATCCCCAATGGTTCTTAAACGCAAGGGATTATGACTTCATATCCCCAAATTCATATCCCTAGTTTGTTTATGTGAAGTGTAGTATTATTTATGTTGAAGTCAAATATTAGTTTATAAGGAGTCAAAATATGCCAATGTGATATTTATTCTGGTTCAATGCATGGAGTGGATGCTTATAAAGGGGCCATCCAAGGTGGTTTGGTTAGTAACAAGAAGGGTGGATTAACTCTCTCTATCCTTCTCCTTTAGTTATTTACTTTCATAGTGAATGTGTGTGATGAAAGGGTGATTATCATATTGTATTATAAAAAAATTCTCTAAAATGAAGCTATGATGGTTACGTGAACACTTGGATAGATTATTCTTCATTTGCTTGGTGGTCGGTCACCCAAGGAGTTTTATGATCTCCTTAGAAAATATGCTTTGTTGAGTAGGAATTTTCAATTATTTGCACTTATTTTATGCAAATCTTGTATTCATTGTGTTAGTGGCATTATATAATGTTATGTTTCTTAATCCTATATTTTATCCCTTGATATTGTTATTTTAATTTGGAATTCCTAAACCAATAATTTTTTTGAAAAACATGACCGATTCAGTCATTTTTTCCAGTTCACCCATTAAATCATCTCCAAAATTTTTGAATTCAGTGTCATTTTGTTCATTTGTTTTTGACTACTTCCAACATATAAAAATTTATCTATAATGTTATGTTAAAATTCTTGGAGAAAAGTTTGCCAACAAAAGCGCTAACTTTAAATCATGTGTTTCCAAATCTTTTATTTATAAATTTCATGTTCCCAACTTCATTGCCTCAATGGTCCAAACCAAAAAAAAAAAACTTTATCATTGCTAGTGTTTCTAATATTATCTCCAATTTAAGTTGCTAAATTCTCATGCCTTCACAAAATGATCAAGCCATTTTCTTAAATTAGGTCACCTTAGGACAGGGATGAATAATCTCTAATATATATGTGTTTCTCTATATCAAATAAATTCCAAAACATATCAAACTTTCCATATTATTATTTAACTCCCTACCCTAAAACTCATGTGATTATTTGTATGATTTTAAGGTATGTAAAAAATGTTCTAAGTGGTATTATGAATATGTGTGATGAAAGGGTGCTTAGCATGTTATATTTAAGCTAATCTTTTCTTTGAAATGAATATATGTTAACTGTGTGAACAATTGGATGAATTATTCACTATTAGCATGAGGCTTAGTAGTTGGCCACCCAAGGGATTTGGAAATCTCCTTAAAAACCTTCTTTAGTGAGTTGGAATTTTCAATTTTTTCCACTTGTTTTATACAAATTTTATGTTCTTTGTTTTGGTAGTGTTATATAATGTTTTGCTCCAAAATAAAAGATATCCCATTATTTTATTATTCTAAGTGAGAATCTCAAAATATTATACCAATTCTACTGTTTGTCCAACTAGACCCATCAAATTAACTCTAAAAAATTCAAATTTAGTGTCATTATATTTGTCTCACTCCTTCTTAAGAAAATAAAAAAAATATCTATAGTATTATGTTAAAATTCTTGGAGAAATGCATGTCCAAAGAAAGCCCCAACTTTATTCCTTCTGTTTTCATTTCCTATTTTTTCTAATTTTCATGTCCTCAAATCCATATCCCAAATGTTTCAAATCCAAAAAAATACTCCTTATCAATACAATAGAATTTCTAATAATATCTTCAATTTTAATTACAAAATTTTCATATTTCCACAAAAACTTTCTAGCCATTTGTCCAAATTAGGTGATCTTAGGACAATACTAACCAATCTTCATTATATTTGTTTTATTATATATCAAATCAATCCCAAAACTTGATAAACCTTTCAGATTAGCATTTAACACCATATCCTATATTACAAGTGTTTATTTGTATGTTTTTAGATTTTTATAGAAAGTTCTAAGTGTTTTAACTGAAACTTCTACATTCTAGATAAAATCTAGAATATGCCATGATTCCACTAATACCACTTTCAATTGAGCTCCTCTACACAAATGTGATCCTTGAAAGAGATTGAGTCCACATATATCGCTTCTTATTTATCTTGATCCTCCTTAAATAGCCATCATCTCACACTTTGCTCATCATTATTGGTATTAGAGATTTGTTAGGTGGATTGGCACTTCAACTTGTGACACGACCTTTGCAACACTTAAGATTCAACTCTTGCTTTTAGGTAATCTTTGTCATTCCCTTGGTTTAATTTTATATTTTTTATTTTACTTTTATTGTAAATATTAGTAGCAAATATACATGTTTGATACAAATTATATCACATGTTGTGTTAGCACTGAATTAACCCCACATTCAAGCCACTTAAACCTACCCATTCATAATTTTATTGATGCCTAAATAGTAAGGAGAGATCTACATTAAAAATTAATCCTACCCCTTCATTCCTAATTGGTATGGAAAAAGCCTATGTGAAAATCCCTACTTTTAATTTTTGTGACTAAGCTTACTTGTTTTGTTATTTGTGTTTTTTTATTATTTTAGCATATTGTGAAGGCTAAAAGAAAATTTTTTATATTTTCATTTGAAATCACATTTGGAAATCATGCCTCCTAAATCAGCAAGTCAAGATAATTTGGATTTAACTATTAGGAGAGTAAAAGAGCCTAACATGCAAACTAATGAAAAGATTCTTTAACTTAAGCATCTAATCACAAACTTAATAAACAAAGTCCAAGACATTAGCCTTAGGTTGCCAAATCTTTCTTTTGTTAACAATCCAACAAAATACCCCAATTGAAAGAAGACTTTCTAGAAGAACCTAAGGATACCATTCCACCTCAAAGAAATGACCTTATGAACAACTCTAAGAATGGGTATGTTCGAAACTTTGACACTCAATTAAAACCCATTAAGAAAGACAAAGTTGATGCACCTAGCTATGACGAAGTCCATGGCCTCAATAGATTCCTTAATTAGCTCATCCAAATGGATGAATTCGTTGAGTGGTACCAATTTGATGTCTAAGCCTCATCAATTTATTTAAAAACATTTTTAACTTCTAATGGAAACCAAATTGAAGAATAAAGGACCCTTACACTCCATAGACTAAGTTAACCCTTGATGGATGTGGGTGGTCTTTTGATGAGATAAAATACTAAAATTTGATATTGATGTTTTTTTTAGGCATAAATATGTGATGTGGAGTTTTGGTGGAATGTTAAAAGATTTAGGAGAGAATGATGACTAAAATACCAAGACAAGTCTGGATTAAGCTAGTTTAGGCTGATTTAAAATA